CTGAAAGAACGTTGCCGGCACAAACCAAATTTCCTACCCCCGTTTTATCTCGTTATTTCGAAACGCGAAAGTTTCGCAACGGTGCCCTTTCGCCGCGACGTACGCCGAAAGAGAAAAGTAAAGTATTTCGTAAACTTCTTCGCGAGAAGGTGCTCCGAGATACTAATGCATTAAATTGTCGCTTTTGTACTATCGACTGTTGGTCGGAGTAAAATTGTGAGCGTGGCTTTGATGCGTGTAAAAATTAATTAAATGTCTCCTGTATGTGTAGTGAAGAAATTAAATTAGCAAATTTATATATATGTATAGAATACAGGTAAGATATATATATTATATATGTAAATCTGGTAATTTAACTTAATATATAAATGGTAAATTTAATTTAATATATAAATCTGGTAAATTTAATTTAATATACAAATCTGGTAATTTAATTTCTTAACGATGTACGTAGAAGACATTTAATTAAATTTTGATTATCTATATGGGAATATCTTCCCATGTAACTAACGATCCATCCAGTTTCGTGCGAGAGGTCCTGTTGCGCCATTAGCGAAATCAGCGGAAGCGCAGCGCGATTACTTGTTCCTCGTTACGGAAGAAAATCGCAACTTTCCGCCGTTTCGACATCAAGTTAACAAAGTTCAGATTTTCCAGTGGCATCTCATTTTTTTTCTTGTTTCCGCGGAAGTTCTCTCTCTCTCTCTCTCTCTCTCTCTCTCTGCCGAGGATATCAAATCTTAGATTAATCTCTGGCATGATGCATCGCGCGGCCATCGATCTTGCCTCCGCATTCTGTAAGTCGCAACATCACTGCATTTGCGTGAATTTTATTATGAATAAGGAGACTCTCCCTCGAGGGAGAAATCGTATAATTTGCATGGCAGCTGAATTCGCACCGCAAAGACCCCGTGATAACGAATCCGGCCGTTGAGAAGCCAAACGCGGAATGTTCCGACGGTAATGGCTAGTAGAGCTTATAGTTAAGTTCCATTACATCACGGCGGAAGAGCAAATCGGAATCTAATCTTATCTCGCTTAATTGATCGCCTCATTATCGCTGGCAATACTCTTCTATTACTTGGGGAATAACTGGCGTCTGATTAGCGTTCGATAATATCTCCCGCGACTCACAAGTACAGGGATAATCTATTATTTAATCACACGTTACCAACTTTACCGAGACGTAAATTTAATTCAGCGCTTAATCAGTGAAAAACCCGATTTCGAAGGAAGTCTGTGACTGACTAAATTTCTGACGTTTCGCAAAATTTTCGCTAAGAAAAAGTCAACTCCATCGAAAAGCGCGCGGCGGAACGATTCAAAGGCAATCAAAGCGAAATCGGGGAAACCCCGGTGGAAAATGTTCGTCCTGCATTTTCGCTCATACAATTCGCATGGTCGTGTTCCGCACGAGCCAGACATTGCGCGAATACTTTCCCGCTGACTCGTTAGATTTAATTTACCGCTAAGCGAATAACCGGCGTTGCGTTTTCCTCCCGCGGCTTTGGCACTTCCACGCCCGCGTTTTCCACCCCCGTGGCATCATCCCCTATTTGAGGAAGCCAGAAGAAAGTGGGGGGAGGGAGGAGGAACGGGGAGAGCATTTCGTCCCGACGAAACGGATGCGGAAGCGCGGTCGTGAATCGCTGCATTACGAGCCCGACGCGGCGCACTCCGCAACACGCGAATTCACTGGCAAACCGCAAGAATCGCAGCCGGGGGTTTGAAAGTACGATGGAAATTAATTTGCCGAGCTTAACGAACCCAAGGCCCACAAAGCAGCGGCAGGCACCGGCGGGTACATCGTGTTAATTACATTGAGAGCTGGCAAGAGCTGGCTAACGGCTAGGAAGACGGTGGGATGCTCATTTTTGTAAGCGGAAAAAATAATCGCGACGCGCATCGGCAATGACACTCAAGTCAAGTCGCTTCGCTTTCTGGCACCGCAAAAATGTACACGAGAAATGTCAATAATTAACTAATTAGATATATTTGACGAATTAATAATTAGAAACAGCTACAAGATGTTCGCAAAATGTGCTCGTGCTCATCTTTTATTTAATTTTCAAATTCTTAATGTTAAAATTTCTTTAATGTTATATCTCTAAAAAGAACAATTATTACAACTATTCCGCGTCTCGAAGAGGCGCTAATTTTTGTAAGTAACAAAGATTAATCCGGACCGTTCTTCGCGAGTCGTAAAATAATAAATTGCCGATTCCCCGGACACGTGTCTCGAGAGTCGCGCGTTCCGCGGAGGATTACAAGACAAGTCTCGCCGTTGGAGGTCGGTTGGGAAATTAGTTTCCCCGAGCTTAATGGAGTTCCGTGAGCGCGAAAGATGGGCACCTCGGAGGCGACGACTACCGACGAAAGTTTCGCGCAACTTTTGCAATTTTTTCAATTAGCCGCGATTTTTCAACCGGCGCGACGGAGCGCGCGCGCGGCGCGCTGAGAAATGAAAGCGGGTTTTACGAGTCCGTCGTGTTTGTTGGACTCCGCTCTACTTCGTGATTCCGTCCTAACGATGTTACCCCGCGTATATTGGGAAAGTCAAGCGACGTTATGAAAGTCTTAGTAACTGAGCGTGCGCGCGCGCGCGCAAAGTTCTTTATTCCGAGAGCCCGGCGCAAGAGTGGCCCGACGTCGCCGCGTCCATTCTTCCCCTCGACAATAAGCTTTCCGTCATTAATGGGCAGCATTGTGCCGAGCGCTGTATCGCGTCGAGCGACGAAAAACGACGGCAAATGCGTCGGCGGTATCTCGGTGACGGCTGACTTCCGCCCCGACTTCCGGTTTCGATCGATGATTTACGAGGCTCCCGAAAGGAACCGAGAGAGGCTGAAAATATATTGTGCGGGTACTTCTGAAACTGAACTACGCTCTCGCTCGAGTCTACACTGTGAGAGACCTTCTCGTTCTTTAGACACACGTCTTGTGTTCCTTCCCCTATTTGATTTTCCTTCCCCTGTCTTTTCTACATTTTTTTTTATTTGGATCCCGGCAGCGACGTATCTACATGTACACGTGCTTTGTCTCACGCGAAAGATATCGCAGGATATTCGCGATTGATACTTTAAGGTTTCCGAAGGGTTGCGAATGGGGTTTCGACATAGGGAACGTGAGGTCGCACGAGGGAGACAATTTATTTGTCGGAGCCAATAAGTCGGTCGTGTTAGATCAATTGGAAAGAGGGAAGTGTTATAAACTCCTCTGCCGCGCGCGCGAGAGGTGGGCTCAGGCGCGCGGCGGAGAAAAAATCTCCGTTCACACGGGAGCGAGCTTATTGGAGGCCGAGCGACAAATGAAATCGGGAAATCCTACGTGAAATAGGATAATCTGAAACTGACGTCGCTATCCTCTTTCGCGTGCGTTTAAATACCCCCGACGTTTCAATATTTCGAACGGGGGAGACAAAAGGGAGGCGGAAAGCTTTGTTAGTTAAGGAAACAAAGATGAAGTTTCTCTTTCGGCGCGACAGGAGATTCGGCGATTAATTTTCGAGCGGCAGCCAATAATTCACCCGCGTTTCGTTTTATTGCGAAATACGCGGGGGCGAGACTGCGCCGATCGATAACGAATACGGCGATACAAGACTAATAAAGTCGCAGCGACAAATATTATACGCCCAGGTCCGAATAACGGGCGAAAGGGGCTCGCATTTACGTCTCATTCGATACGTGATTTAGTAATTTAGTCTAAACGGGGGTGGATTTACGAAACTCTCGGCAAAGTGATAAGAAGTTATCTCGAGTTAATTGGAAATGGTGATAAGTCGCGATAACGAAAGTGTTATGCTGGTCTAAAAGCATAAATAATTGTATGGACCGTAGTGTTCACCCTAATTTTGAACACGTCAGAAGATAACATAGTATACAGACTATATACGGCCGTGATAATGACCATATGGCCACGGCAAATAAACGGATCGAGCTGCCCGAGCGGTCCATCAAAAGCCGATCGGAACATGTGCAACACGCTTCGAATAAGATAGAAGGGAAAATGTTGCAGATGCGATTCGTATAATTTCGAGGAACGCAATTTTTTCGCGCACGTTAGGGAGATTATAAAGAAAAAAAGCTCGCAATCACGTGATCGCGCTCGCGCAATTCGTGAATTCGTCCGATCGGATCGGTCGAGGGCCGCGTGAAATGCCCCTCGTCAGTGCTTTTTCACCGCCCTAACGAGGTCTTGTTCATCCGCGCTTTTCACCGCGCTCTTAAAAGCCTCGACCGGGAGGGAGCGAGCCTTGAGGAGAGGACGGCAGTCGTTTCCATGACCGATCCTCTTCCGCCGTGCCATCGTCCGTTTCTGTCCTTTAACGGGGCACGCGAACCTGATATCCCCGGCTCTGCATATCGGAAAAGCCGTCGGGATCCGTTCGGCCGCGGATAGAGTTTCGTTTTATATTTTCAACGTATCGAAAAAGCGAGTCGACATTTTCCCCTTTTACGAGCGGCCGTGCCGCGCGTGACCGCGCGACCGGAAAGGGGATATCCTTTAATAGGGTGGAACATCGAGCGAACTCGCGCGCCACGTCGCTGTTGGTATTAATGCCAGCTTGTAGCGGCCGATCGATTAATTAACGCGGCTAGCGCAGTGTCTAATCATTGTTTAGACGCGAGGTACTTCGGCGTGCAAACATATGATATAGTGGATAATGGCCGGAGTAAATAGGAGCGCTATTTGTGTCGCAGCTAGCATGACTAACTGCGCGCGAGACGCGCGTTTTGATTCGAGCGATTCATCTCCAGAACCCGATATATCCCCTCGACCGCACCGAGGATTCCGGTTCTTTGTGTCTGACATTCGCGTAATTAAAGATAAAAAAAAACGTCGAGAGAATGGCGGCAAATAGCAAAAAGGTGGAAGGGGCGAGAGATTAAACGAATTAAGAATCGATTAACTGTAAATTCGGTTTCTTTTATCCAACTCAATTGAAGGTTTAGATCACTGCGAAATGACTTCATGATTTTCGTTCTTTCTTGTGATTGCAGAGTCGTTAATTAAGAATGCACAATGACGCAGCGAATTTATCCTCTGTCGACGAGTCCCCGCGAGGGGTCGCCGGATATGCAAATGGAGACGTTCAGAGAAAATCACTCCCCCCACCAGGGAAGAATCCTATCAAGGTGTAAGTATTTATATCATTAGATGTACTCGTTCGTTTGAAAGTCAATCCTTTCATTTCATCGCTTTTTACTACGTTATTTGATGTGGAATTAAGTAGTGAACGATTTATTGTATGAAACTGAATTCATGAAAATAGAAGTTTCGTGAATTAATTGCAAATCCAATAAAATATTACTTAATTCCATATCGACGTAATGTACAACTTAATCAAATTTGAGTAACTTAACTCAAGTGGCTTAAAATATGCATAATTAATCTTTGATGTACTACGTGTTTCGTTTGCTTAAATGTTTGTAAAAGCTTGCACGGAAGATTCCACGAATTTTTGAATTGAACGATTAGTATTGATGTGAAATGATTAGTTGTCATCGCGTTTATATTTAATCGTAAACGAAAAAATATCTTATTTATTTTTTAAATAGGAATACGAAAAGCTAAAAAAGTATGAAATATGTCTTACTAGAAAATTGTAAAAATAAATAATTTTAAATTTAGGTCGAAAAATCATACAAAAATATACCTACTGGATTATTATGCTTTCTATAATAATAATAATTATTATTATATAATTATATAGATAATATTTAAAGTATTACTATTATTAATAGTTAATTACTTTCGCAGCAATTAATACGATTAGAAGGCCATCTTTCTGAGACAATAAAAAACGGAAAAATTTTTCACTGAAAATAATTGTACGACTGCTCACTTTTAAGTGAATAGACTAATATACTCAATGGGTACAAGTTCGGTGACTCTCATTTAAGTTCCGCGATAAAAGTGAGCTACGAATTATTCAATTAACCTACAGCCTGCGAGGGAAACGTATTAAGAGGCACTAAATGTCTCACTGTTGAAATTCCGAGGGACTGGCATTCGTTTTAACGCTTTCACGGAAGCCGCGACTAAGAAAGTTTCTACGGAGAGAAGCGATCGGTTACACAGATCTCGTAAAGTATAGGGGTTGCGACAGTGCCGTAACGAGTCTTCGAAACCAGAAATTGTAATTAAGAATCGGAATTGCAATTAGAAGTCATTATGTTCCTGAAAATTTTTATTACGCTATTTTTTAAGAAATTCGTGCAAGAGCGCGCGATGAAGTATTCTTGATCGAGAGAATATACGTACTTTTTCTTGAGAGAAACGGCAAAATAATAGCTCAGTTTTCGCGCTTTTCCGCATCGCGCCTAAGATCCGCCTTTCGATAAATTTCTCGAATAAATTTTCGCGAGTTTGTTCGTTCGACGCGGCGAGACTGTCATGGCTGACGAATTTTGCGCGAAAACACGCTGACGCTAATACGTCGCCGTCCTTCCTCGAGTATGGGGCGCGGCACTGTTATTACTTCAGGTGGCAAAGCTTCCTATATTCCGTGCCGATCGTAGATTTGTCGGCGGGGAGTTTCTAACAGCAATTACGCCGCTAATGGAGCCCCCACGGAGAGACGCCACCGGTCGACTTTCGCCAAAGTCTCTCTCTCATCCAGGACTACTCTTCCTGGTTCCTGGGCTTTGCGACGACGGCGCGTCCAAACTTCCACGCGGATCCCCTCCGATAGTTTTTGCGCTCCCGCCGAGTTACCCGGGGAACCTTCCTCGTTGATCTTTAAATTGCCGATTTACGGAGATCCTCCGTTTGATTCACGATTTCCAAGTCGAAAAGACCTTCCTCGAATTCGCGGAGGCGAGATTCGTCGAGTAATTTCTTCGAAATGGCAATAACAATCTCTAAAAAATGCGACCGCGATCAAGACAGCTAAAGTTATATAGCTGTCTGTTTAATAGCTTTATCATCTTAGCGGGAAGCATAATAATCCAGCTGCATGACGCGTGTGATATGCGATTCGAAAATGCATAAAGACGTGGAATCCGTCGATCTCGCTATTGCCTACACGTTATCTCGCGGTTAAATGCGACAAGCGGCGGTGACACGTTATTTGCAGCGTGCTTTTAAATGTTGACGGTGGATTTTTTGTGTGTACGGTATCCTGTATATCTCATTTCAGACACGCGACAAGACGTGGAGAAGGATAAACACGAAGCCGAATACATGCTACGAGAAAATGGCAAAGCAATGTACGAATGAGCTTGTTACAGATTGTGACGTATATATATATATATCTAAAAACTAAATAAGCGGGGAACGTAGAGAGACTGGATAATGGATCATTGTGGCGCGGGCAGGGGGCTCGCCGGCTTATTAACGTCACGACACGGCCAGAGAGGAGGCTCGCATAAAACTTTTTACGGACCTTTATATGGTTTCGTGCGGCGGGGGACGGGGAGGAGACAGGCGCATGTGCTTTTACGAGGATGCTTCCGGCATCGAAACCTTCTCGTCCCTTTTTGCCGTAAAAGTAACCGCGCCGTGCTCGTTTATCGCCTTATTTTTTTCGTGACTGCACGTGAAATTCCAGCTGCCGTGAAATGTCCTGCGGTACGATGGTCCTAATCCCTTCCAATACTCTCGATTCTCCAAATTCCTTTTCCCTACCAAATCGCGAAAAAAATGTATTTTATTTTATTATTTGTGCTCAGTCAACGAACGGTGAAAAGAGACGAGAAACTATCTCGGCATTTTTTTGACAAATTTGAAATAATATGTCGCGTTCTCCAGACCGAGAAATTTGCTATCTAAGCAAAATGCTGAGAAAGAGAACGTGGGAAAGATTGGTCCATTGAACAAATATCGAATTTTAATCTGAAGAATTTCGATTAACAATCGATTTGCGTCTTGTGTCGACAGGGAATTTATGTCATCGCAAACGAAGAAGGAGGAGGAGGATAAGCCAGCCTCGGAGTCGCCATCGCTGGTACCAGTGCCTTACTACAAACTGGTGAGTTTTCCCCGACTGGAATAATTTATGAGGGTGTCCTCGGTCGAATTTCAAGCGCGACACTCCCCGCGGCGGAAGCCGGTACGTTTGAGGAATCGGGAATATACGGGGTGTTCCCTATCGTCCCCTTTCCTCCGCAGAGTCTTTGTCTAAAGGCGGAGTTCCTTTTCCAAACAACAATCGCGCTTCATAATCCGGCGAATTATCGAGCGTTAGCGCGTCAATGTTCCTCTCAAGCCAGATCGACTCTGACGAAGCGGATGAAGGGAATGAAAATTCGGTACACCCTGTACACCCCGCGCTTTTTCCACGACGTCGCGCCATAAACGAAATGGAGCACGCGGGAGGGTGGGAGCGATCCGCCCGGCGGAACCGTTAAGAATGTTACTTTTCTCCCGATCGCGTTTGCGACTGCGAGAGCATCCTCGGATGAGCGACAGTGATTAATGGCGCCGCTTTCTTCGTGATAAACGACGGTTAATGACTCATTGCCGGGATACATTTGTATAATTTTCCGCGTTATAATTCCCACTCAATAGACCGTGAATCCACTTGTCCGCGCTCTCGCGAAATCAAGCTCGGACGATATTTTTCACGACGCCCGTAAATTCGAATACGGTTTTTCGGTCAATTATGATTGTTCTTGCGTGGAGGAGAGCGAGTAGGTTGCGTGTGGCCGCTCGTTAATCATGGTTAAGCCGGGTATTAATTTTGCAAGCTAAATCTCTCGGAAAGCGCGAATCCGCGCTGCTGAATCATTCAAAAACGCGCGAGTTTTGGCCGCGCCGAATAACTCGGTAAACGTGCCTGCTCGAAACTTTTTGGAAAAAGAACACTCTGCACTTCGAATATAACACGGACCTGGTATTCTCCCTCGTATTCCTACGGACACGCGTATCTCAATAAATTCCATACAGTTGGGCTGCTCGTAAATTTATGAAGCGCAATAGTAATATTTGCGACGGTAAATTCCACCGTACGCGCGTGGCTAATATTATAATCGTATAATAAATGAAATACATCGTTATGTGCAAATACACAACTGACAATAATATATTAGTTATAGCCTCTTCGGTCAGTAATATTTTTGCGGGTATTTAAATACATTTTCCAGTTTATATATAAATTATTGTAATTGCGTTACTAATTGTTTCAAACTCATCAGTTTCGATTTGCGACGTGGGGCGAGTTGATACTGGTCTTCTTAGGCCTGATATTGGGTGGCCTCGACGGCCTGTGCATTCCGATTGTAATTATCGAATACGGTGAATTCAGCACTATGCTACTGGATCGTACCAGGGAGAACGATACGTCCACACCGACCGTCATATTGCCATGGTTCGGGGGTGGGAAGATTTTGTAAGTAACATTTTTCCTTTCTTTATTCCTTCAAAAGTATTGATAATCGTTCCGCGGGGTACGTCTTGTAACGACAAGAAGAACATGTATTACGGTGTCATAGATTCCTCAAGACAGATTTTTACGAATTAGGGAGGGAGATACAATGTTTCATTTTATTCCGACACGGAGCGTTATTTATTTATTTTTTTAGATATCCTAATGCAACTTTCGAAGAAAGGATGGACGCTCTTTACGACGATTCGGTGGCCTTTGGCGTCGCCTGCGCGGCGACAGCGGCGGTCATGTTTGTCATCAGCATGCTCATGGTAGACTTGCTCAACATAGCAGCCGCCAGACAAATCTCCCGAGTGCGCAAGATGTTCCTGAAAGCCGTGCTGAGGCAGGACATGTCGTGGTACGACACGAACACGTCGACAAATTTCGCCAGTAGAATCAACGAGTGAGTTCTCTTCTTATCGTTATGCAAATGCGCCGTGTTGTATCATAGATCGAAGATAACGGCGGTCACCTCGATCGCAAAATTCATCGTGGCAAGCGACTGAGACGCGCCATTCAACATCGATAGATGTTGAATCGGCATTAGGACTACTCAACACAAATTTCTGTAAGCAGTAAGCGAATTTTTTATTTGCTACTGCTTATGTTATTGCTCAAATCGCTGACAAGAATCTGTAATTGCAAAATTTGACCCCATGCGACAATCGCATCGATTCGTTATTTCGTTTATTTAAAAGGGACATTATTTATAATAAAAAATTCGGAATCTTTCGTTCTGTGCGAATCTTTCGTTCGCAGCATCCCGAGTGATTTTCGGTATTAAGCAAAGATCCACAGAAATTAACAGCTTTGACAATACAATATTTCAATATTTCTCGGCTCTACGAAATAATTTCAGCGCGGACGATACGTTCTGTACGTTCACGCTCCAGTGCGTCCTCAAAGGGAGGACGTTGTACCTTCGATTTTCGAGACCGTCGATGTAAACGCGGGGCGGACGCGGCAGGGGCGGCAGAGGAGCAAAGTTCAGGAGGCGAGAACCTGTGTGTTCATCAACAGGTGGGCGTTTGCTCGAAACTCGAAAAGCCTGTTCCCCACGCTGTCTCTGTGCCTCCGCTCGCATTACACCGTATAGTAATTGGATGAGCGACTCATATTAAGTTATTAGCCGCGTGAATCGCAAGTATGTTAATTTTTACCGGTCCCATTATTCGGTCGTGATTCCGCTTTTTCTGCGTCGCGATGAAGATAGGGAGAAAACGCGCGGCAGGAGATAAGATTTAATGTCACCGCAATTACAGACTGAGCGTCTGTAACAAACATGACACGCAACAACAATGTCATTTAACATTTTGCTATCTAGAAAATATACAGCTGTATCTAGTAGGATATACAAACATTGATCGATTTTTCTGTCGGTCGGTTATCGATTGTTCAGCGACAGCCGGCGTTACATAAAGATTTTTAATCTTGCGGCAGATGGGCTGCGAAAAAAATATAGCGATAACGCTGACGATGACAGAACGCTGATAAACGGTCAATCTCGGTTCAAAACTCGGTTTCGCGGCTTTGAACGGATGCTTGCTTTAAAAAGCCGAACCTTAGGAACCCCACTTTCGATTATATAAAAGTGATATTGAAATGGGGTCGCGCAGAGGATTTATTTAGCTATTACATAAACCGACACATATATATATATATATATATATATATATATATGCGAATAAAATGACGATGTCGTCCGTCTTTCAGGGATTTGGAGAAACTGAAGGATGGCATAGGAGAAAAGCTGAGTATAATAACCTATCTAATCACGTCGTTCGTCGCTTCCGTCGTCATCTCGTTCGTATACGGTTGGAAGCTGACCCTGGTCATGCTAAGCTGCACGCCGGTCATAATAATCGCCACGGCGGTTGTCGCCAAGGTGCAGAGCTCTCTCTCGGCCCACGAGCTGGCGGCTTACGGTCAGGCCGGTAACGTCGCCGAGGAGGTCCTCGCCGCTATCAGGACCGTGGTAGCCTTTAACGGCGAGCAGAAGGAGGTGGAGAGGTACTCGGAGAAACTCGGACCCGCGGAGAAGACTGGCATCAGAAGGGGCATGTGGTCCGGGATCGGCGGTGGCGTCATGTGGCTCATCATATATCTCAGCTACGCGCTGGCATTCTGGTGAGGATCCGCGTTATTATTATCGCGGGGTGACACGCGTCTCCGCGTTATTCGATTCGAACAAGCCTGTGCTTCGCAGATATTTTATGAAAATTCAATAACTCAGGCGAGAGATGTCAAAGGTACATCACACGTGTCGTAATTGAAAATCTGGCTCTCGCGAGATAACATAGTTTCAGCTCGACGAGCTGTAACGAACGTCCAATTATCTTCTTATTCCTCCAAGCTAATTATTTCGCTCGGATTGTACCTTAATTGTCATATTTAACCATATGAACATATAATAATTTCCAGCTTTCCAGAATATAATAAAAACTACGAGGTAGATTAATTGGGCGCACTCACGCCTAGAATAGCCTCAGCTTCTGTTTACGCAACGTTCGATGGGAAAAAAGCGTTAGCTTTCAAGGGACATGTCGCGGTTTCGGCAAAAAGCACATTTTCCCTTTTTTGTGCCGCAGGTACGGCGTGCAATTAATCCTGGACGACCGCCCGAAGGAGGTGAAAGAATACACTCCTGCCGTCATGGTAATTGTGTTCTTCGGCGTGTTGAGCGGCGCCCAAAATATGGGCCTCACCTCACCTCATCTCGAGGCGTTCGCGATGGCGCGCGGCTCGGCGGCCGCGGTCTTCAGAGTTATCGACCGCGTACCGTCGATCGACAGCCTCAGCAAGGAGGGCCGACGGCTGGACACCGTCAATGGCGAGATCGAGTTCAGGAACGTCAAATTCCGCTACCCGGCGAGGAAGGACGTCCAGGTGCTCGACGCGCTCAATCTGCAGATCAATCGCGGCGAAACGGTGGCTCTCGTAGGCGAGTCCGGATGTGGTAAATCGACCTGTTTGCAGCTAGTTCAACGGCTCTACGATCCCCTGGACGGGCAGGTCGGTAGCGACTCCGTTAATCGGATTCTTTCTTCTCGCCCGAAAGAGGATTCGCGCCGCTTCGTTCACATTTATTTCATTTTGATCGCGTACACGTCGCACGTAATGCGGAGCGAAGGACGCTTTAATTTTTGAAGGCACAAAAATATCGCATTTTATATTTTGTTTGCGTAGAAAATTTCCTGTAAAAACCGGTTTATGAAATTTTTTAATGGCAAAAGCGTATAGAGACGGAAAGAGAGAGAGAGAGAGAGAGAGAGGCGCGCGGCGCGGCTCGCGCGTTATGACGGGCGTTGTTGTTACGCGGGGGGAACAAAGTTAATAACCGCGCATATAGCGCCATAAATGTCCAAGTGACGTTTTTATCCCTCGTGAAATTACAGTGACGCTGAATAAATGGCGCTGCGCCGCGGTAATTTACTTGGGCGTTATTCAGAAAATAATTGTTTTACCGCCCGTCACATCCCCGCGTTATATTTTCCATCATCTCACCCGTCGAACGTCTTCGAGCACATTGTCTTATCGCTCGGCTCACTTATCTTGTTTATGTTTTCACAACGGGGAGAAAATTCGCGACGAGAACGGCGAGCTCTCTTTCCGCCGCGCCCTTTCGCGCGCGAGAGGGACGGTCACGCGATGTCGATCGGGTGTGTCGCGCGAGGAATGTTGTTGCAATGTTATTATTAACGCGGCCGCGATTTTTACGGCGCCGAGGCAGCTGCGGATACACTGACGCAGTATCCTGCGTGTAATAAACATTTTATGCTTTATACCCTGCGGCTTTTCGCCACGCCCTACGCAATGAGTACATCTCGCTCGTGTGTTCGATAGAGTTACGAACTGCAAGTTCGCTTTTAGTTACGTGTAATATTAAAATGCCATGCACAACGTAATGCACTTTCCCATCATAGATCGTTTCCATGCTGCGCGCGTATAAAGCACGGTGATTATATTTCTTTTGACATTATGGTATCTACGTGCTCCTCTCTCACACTTTACGGTTTTGTTCTATTGATTTCTTTATCAATTTTATAATTCTATCTTAATTTTATTATTTTATTATGAGTCAAGACGTATTAAAGCAATAACGGTAAGCATTACTGACAAAGACAGTAGTCTATTATCTCAAGTATATACATTTGATTTCTAAAAGTTATATTAATTAATTTTATTGGACATTTAAGAAGTCTATCCTGCTTGGAAATTGACAGCATTTCATTTTCAAACGGAGTTCCTCCGCGTCATTATCCGTTCCGCTCGGCCATATATATCGATTCTCGTTTCTCGCGAGAATGCCAGCGTGTCAGCTCGACACACGTGTGCGCGTACAGATGGGAAGACAATTTCCAAGAGCTCCCGTATTTTCCTGTGCCGCAGGTCCTGCTGGACGGGGTCGACGTGTCGACGTTGAACGTTCAATGGCTGCGCTCGCACATCGGCGTGGTCGGCCAGGAGCCGGTGCTCTTTGACACAACGATACGCGAGAACATCCGCTACGGAAATGACAGCATTACCGAGGAGGAGATGATCAAAGCCGCGAAGGAAGCGAACGCTCACGACTTCATCAGCAAACTGCCGGAGGTGAGCACTCCCCCTTCCCCCTTCCCACCCTCTCGCTGCCGCCCTTTTCTCGTATTCCAACCGCGCCCTTTGCCCGTCCGGAATTATAGCTTCCTTTTTGGTCGTGCTTCGGCGCGGGGTGTTCGATTGATTCAGCCAGTTTCATTCTGAGGGAGGAAGGGGGGAAGTCACAGAGAGCCGGCGGATATGTCGGCGTTGTCACCCCGATTGAAAACTCAACGAAGATATTGTATCCATCCGGCATTGTCTCTTCTATACATATACCGAAATTCTTTAGCGTTCGTTTCGCTCGGAGTATGTTAAAACTAGTAAAACTACAGTATAGCAGAACGAACGTAATCGTTAATCGAAGATCGTAATTATTTATCACGCTCATTGATGACAACTTTTCGAACTGGAAATCGCGAAATTAGGCGAGAAAACATTTTAATCGTGCGACAGTCTATAAAATTTTATCACGGTTCCGCGCGTGGCGATATTGCGATCGGTTAATCGTTGGAAATCTATAGTTACGCGCGCGAATTTCGAGATTTTCCGCGAGCGTAATTGAAAAGGTAAATTAACAAGTAACGGCGAAAGAGACGGCGTGATTTTCCCCCCGAATAATCCCCCGGGACTGGATATAACCAGTTGTCATCGCGCGTCGCGATGTGTTAACAATAGTCTCAGGTGTGGCCCGGCAGTCGGCGCGGTACGCGCGCAAACAGGCGATAAAACACGCGTGTTAAACCGTGCGCGCGGGGCAAATAACATTATCCGAGATTACGCCTGTGTCAACGATTAGGCGTTTATTAGCGGATTATCGGTAGGTGAATTCGATACTCGCGAACCCGCCGCGCGCCACGCCGGTCCCATTGGATCGCCGCGCCGCGCGCGTCGCGTTTGCACACACATTCAGGGTTTATCCCGCTACGCTCTCGCAACGCGCTTATACAATTTAATCGCGCGCAGCTTCCGCGTCGTTGGAAAAATGAAATCTGTCCGGTGTAAGTTCATCAGGATTGCAATTAGTCGGCGCACCCCACCTGCACTGCCGCGATAACATTTCTGGACAGCGCGTGACTGGGCGTGTTTTGTCTGTTTAATCGCGTCGATTGTAAAATGGATTTTGACGGGCATCGCGAGGCGGAAAAATCCCCCGTTAACTGGGGAAACCTTCCTAGCTTTTTGCGCTAGTTCCGATCCGTCTGCGGGAAGAACTCCGATCGTTCGCTCGGCGATTATCGCGAACGTGTCGCGGCTTGAGAATTTATTAAACCGCGCGTTGCCATACTACAAGTGTGATACGCTGTTTCGACCTTGATTAAATAACCGTTACTTCGTACCGCAAATCGTTCGAAAACTATCCTCAGGCGATCGGTGGTCCGATATAACTATGTAACCGGCACCACCGCAAACTTGCAACTATAAATGCGCGCGCAAAGACTCGTAATTCTTACGAGTTTATGTGAATAAATAAAGGAAATAAAAAAAGAGGGTTATTGCAGAAGAGAAAAAGAAGCGAGAAAATCAAATTAAATTGCTAAGATGCCATTAGTATCATGTGAGAAAATATCTTTTCATTTGACTCTCTGCAGAAAACTATGTAATAATTTTAACTTAAAGTTCAAATACGACAGAACGTGCATTCTAATTCGATGAGACAATTCGAGGAGAATTTCCATCGATTCCGAAATTCTGCCGCAGTCTAATATCAATTCGCGCACTCGGGACTCAAAACTAATGAAACGGCCGGTTTGTGGGATTCACGCAGGGTTACGACAGTCCGGTTGGCGAGAGAGGCTCGCAGATGTCGGGCGGACAGAAGCAGAGAATCGCCATCGCACGCGCGCTGGCGAGGAACCCGGCGATTCTGCTGCTGGATGAAGCTACTTCAGCCTTGGACGTCCACAGCGAGGCGATCGTGCAGAGGGCCCTCGACGCGGCGGCAAAGGGAAGAACGACGATTATAGTCAGCCACAGACTTTCTACCATCAGGGACGTCGACAGGATCGTGTGTATCAAGGACGGGGTCGTCGTCGAGCAGGGGACCCACGAGGAATTGATGGCGCTTAAGAAGCACTATTACGGACTGCAGTCCGCCCACGCGGAGACCGCGACTAAAGATAAAGGTGCGCTTTAGCTCACGAACGTTTCGCGTTACAAGTATCGCTGTTTCAGCAAACGTTTAGGTACATAATTACATTTCTGACACTTCGCCACTGTGTAGATAAGGTCACGAAGGTTGCCAGGACCATGTCGACTCCGAAAATGAAGAAGAAACCGACATTGAATCAACAGTTCTCAACGTTATCCGCGCACTCCCATCGACTCTCTCTCGCGAGGTCTGATTCATCGGTAGAAATCTTGGAAGAGAAACCTTACGACGCGCCTATGATGAGAATATTTGGACTGAATAGACCGGAATGGCTATTAAATTTGATCGGTAATTTCTAGCTGACGAGAAACAATAACGTGTAGTAGCATGATAGCGATGGAATCTGATCTTACGAGATCATATCTGCAGAAAGAACCGAATATAAAGTATCGGTAAGAGAGGAAAAATAATTCACGTTGTTTACAATTTCTTCTAGGAAGTCTCGCGGCAGCGTTGGTAGGCGCCTCTTTCCCAGCTTTCGCTATACTGTTTGGTGACATTTACAAGATACTGAATTATCCCGATCCCGACGAGGTTATGAAGGAGACCATCTATCTCTCGATCCTCTTCATCGTCGTCGGCGTGCTCACAGGTCTCGGCACGTACCTGCAGATGCACATGTTCGGCCTGTCCGGCGTGCGTATGACGACGCGAATAAGGCGGATGGCGTTCACCGCGATGCTGAAGCAGGAGATGGGCTGGTACGACGAGGACAACAACAGCGTGGGCGCGCTCTGCGCGAGGCTGTCGTCGGACGCCGCGGCGGTCCAGGGCGCGACCGGGACGCGCGTCGGCTCCATGCTCCAGGCCTTCTCGACCCTCGTGATCGGCATCGGACTGTCCCTGTCCTACACGTGGAAGATGACGCTGGTCTCGGTGGTGTCGATCCCGCTGGTGCTCGCCTCGGTGTTCTTCGAGGCGCGCGTCATGGGCGGCCAGGGGATGCAGGAGAAGAAGAAGATGGAGGCGGCCACCCGGGTGGCCGTCGAGGCGATAACCAACATACGTACGGTCGCGAGTCTCAATAAGGAGGACGTCTTCTTCAAGCGGTACTGCGTGGAACTGGACCACGTCGCCCGGGCGACCAGAACCAGGAACAGGCTGAGGGGATTGGTGTACTCGTGCGGCCAGACCGTTCCGATGTTCAGTTACGCCATAAGCCTTTATTACGGCGGTTACCTGGTGGCCCAGGAGGGACTGAGCTACGAGATGGTCATTAAGGTGTCGGAGGCGTTGATCTTCGGTTCGTGGATGCTCGGTCAGGCACTAGCGTTCGCGCCGAACTTCCATACGGCCAAGATATCGGCCGGCAGAATCTTCATGTTACTTGACAGAGTTCCGGAAATCACCTCGCCACCGGGATCGGAGGGAAAGGATTTGGATTGGGTGAGTTCACTTTGACATCTCACGCATATTCGGCGTGTAAACTCGGTTACGCAAAACCGCGAGTGTTTACACACGACGTGTTTTGGGTACCGCGCACTTTCTCTCCGTTACGCATGTACGTTCAGCGGCAGGTCACTTTAAATTAATAACATTTGCAAGATTCAAATCACAGCTGACTTTGAAGCCGGCACGTTTGAATGCTGATTAATAATAACGAATGAATGATAAGATATGTAATTAAATTTTGCTGAGAGAGGAGAATGGAAAATTTCGCCAAAGAATGTAAAAGCGCGGGGCCTGCACAGTAATTAACTTTAACTTTTAATTAATCTCTCTGATACAAAGTTAATCGAAATTTGCGCGACACTGAACATAGCATTTAAATTGGCTACCGAATCGTAAAATTATTAGCCTTAGTGATTTGTTTTAACGCACGTGCCCGACGAGTTGTTATTAAACGCCGACGTTGATTCACGTGTTTCATTGTAGAATAATTTCCCTTGTAAATGAAGCAAATTAAGTTCCCAACTAAACTCTATTTTAAAATTACTAAAATTAATTGAATTACGAACGGAGATATCTTTGGAAATTTCCAGTATAAGAAAGTGTATAAGATAAAATGCATTTTTCGTACGTAAGTTAAATAACAGAATACTATCGTATTCAGTATAATACATGGTAAATCTTACATGATTTTAATTCCGCGTCTTGTGACGAGATAACGGCGATTAAATGCGCCTTTACAAAAATTCCAGACAGTTGCAAAAGAGCGGAAGAATCTGGCTGCTGATAAACTTTGTTCCTTGAAACTGTCTTTGAAATCAAACGTAAGATACGAAATTTTTGTAAAGGCGCATTTAATCGCCATCTCGTCATAAGATGCAGAATCAAAGTCATGTAAGATTTACCACGTATTATAAAGCTGATAAACTTTGTTCCTTGAAACTGTTTTCAATTTCAAAGAAACTGTTATTTTATTTTTAAAGAAATTTGCGGTTTATGACGAGATGGGAATTAAATGTGTCTTTACAAAAATTTCGAAGAGTTTCAAAAGAGCGGAAGAATTTGACTATTGATAAACTGCCTTTGAAATCAAAGACAGTTTGAAGAAACAAAGTTTATCAGCAGCTAGATTCTTTCGTTCTTTTATAACTGCTCGAAATTTTTGTAAAGGCATATTTAATCGCCATTATCTCATCACAAAACGCAGAATCAAAGTCATGTAAGATAATTTGCCACTTATTACATGTATTATACTGAATAGTATTATTTAATGAAATATTAACAGGGATTATTAAACAGGATCTCCGACGGAGTCGCGTAATTTACAATGTGCTCGGCAAACTATTTACGTAATACGCATCGCATAAAGCGCAACGAGTGACTGCAAATCGTTTTGACGATTCTTGAAGCGTGCGCGGCGGGAACGCGCAAATTAATCGCGATGATTACCGCGCCGCCTTGCCGTAAATGCCGGCTGATTGCCGGATGCATGTTTAATCTTCGTGTTCGAGACGCGCGGTTTTCTGTTTCGTTTGCGGTGCATCGTGTTTGCACGCGCGCGCGAGTCGCTACGCCTGTGCAAATGATATCCGTTAGAAATTTACGATCCCGTTTGATTAGCACCGCTCCGAGTGGCGTCTCGTTAATTATACGTTCGAGACGCGAAACTGAGAGTCAACACCGCTATCTTGGCGTAAATTAAATAAAGCGCAGTACCCGCATTAAATCTCGTCAAATCATAATCCACTTAATTATGCCGTTGCGATTAGTCGCCCTTTTAATATAATGATAATAATAATTCTAAGGAGAAAAAAAAATAATAAAAACGCGAAACGAGCATCCTCTGCTTTCCGCGAAATTTAGCGAAAACGAGCGATGCGTAAATTACGGGATTAACGCGAATCTCTCGAATCTCCCTCCCCGCTAACGAGTTGCTTTGTATTTTTGCCACGCAGAAAGCGGACGGCTTGATACGGTACTCGAAGCTCAACTTCAATTATCCGACGCGGCCGGAGATGACAGTGCTCAAAAATTTTGATCTGATCGTGAAACCGGGCCAGATGGTGGCTCTAGTCGGCCAGAGCGGGTGCGGCAAGTCCACATGCATACAGGTCTTGCAGAGGCTCTACGATCCGATTTCTGGCACCGTAACACTGGACCGGCGTGACATCGCCTCGGTTTCGCTGGCCACCCTCAGATCGCAGCTCGGTGTCGTCGGGCAAGAACCCGTGCTCTTCGACCGAACGATCGCGGAGAACGTCGCGTACGGCGACAACAGCCGACAAGCGTCCATGGACGAGATTATTGAGGCCGCCAAAAACGCCAACATACACACATTCGTCACCTCGTTACCGCTGGTTAGTCATCGATGTCACTATTATATAATACTCGCGCATGAGTTGCGCACAGCGAAAAGCCCGGAGTTCATTTATGTAATAAAAAAAAAGAGAAAAAAAGGTCTTTAATATGCTGTTACATATAATGAAAGTATTACGCGAATAATAAATTTAACATTAAAATAGCCTGGAGATTTTGCGCTGCTATTAAATATTAATGTAATTATTCATTACCCTTGGTTTTGAATAATTTTAAAATAATTACGACTATTTTTCAAAAATAATCGTAATTGTTTTTAAAATTGAAAAATTAAATACAGAGGCTGTGTGTGGAAAAGAATTTAATGTATGTTAATATTTTATAATATTATTAATACCTTGTAACATTTATTCTACGCGATTGAATATAATTCCGCTTCTTTTTTGTCTATAGGGTTACGACACGCGACTGGGATCAAAAGGCACTCAGCTTAGCGGCGGGCAGAAGCAACGAATAGCTATCGCACGAGCTCTATTGAGGAATCCACGAGTTTTACTTCTGGACGAAGCCACGTCAGCCCTCGATTCTCAAAGCGAGCAGGTGAGAATTGTTAAATATTCTTCTAAAGGAAACTACTCGCGAGTAATTTTACCAACAATTTTTTCCTCTCTTTATCCGAATGTCAGATCGATAATAGGTTTTATTCTCGAGTCTGAATAGCGCTCGAAAATGTAAAGTAAGAGCAATGAACGGAGCGTAACACAAAAGCGAACGTGTCTAAAATAAAACGCGTGAACTGTTGCACAATACCTGCAGGAAGTTCGCTTATATATAAATATTAACCATACAAAAAACGATCCGCGCGAGATTCGCGAAGCGGAACGATCTCCATCCGGATGTGTACAACTTTCGCTTCTCGCTCGGTGTAGCGTGTAACGATTTCTCGATTAACGGTGTATCATAATCGCCAAGATTGCATTCCTCAATTCGACGTGAGATCAGCGATTGCGGCCCGTCGATGACGAGATCTCGTCGCGACGAGATTGGAAGTCCGATTGAAAATTTTTCCGAAGGACACGAGCGGCGCGTTATCGTTCTCGCGAGAGGCCGACCGGCGACGGGCAATCGCAGTTAATGGTCGTCAAAAGTGACGGAGGCGAACGGTTTGTTTCGGTCGCGCGCGTCTCCCCCGGGCGTCGTTCGCCCGGATTTTCTTCGCGAATTCCGCCGGCGGCGGAATCGCGTATACCTCATACCCGCGTCGCTATGCAGTCGTTAAGAACGTCTGTTGCCATTCTCGCTGCGCGCGAAATTTCGCTGCTTCAGCCGGCAGCAAGATAGCACTTGCACGAGGCGCTTGTTTATCTTTTTTTATTCCGTTCGCTCGTGGGTTGCATTAACCCTCCCGAGTCAGCATCGAGTTTTTAGGTCAATCCATTTTAGCTACGTTTTCCTTTACTCCGCACGGAACAAGTGTATATTCATGCTCTGCACGAGAGAAAGGAAACGAAAAACGCAACGCGGAAAGCACTACCAAAATGGACGGACATTGTAGAAAGAAAAAAAATATAAATTTTATTTGCAAGCGCTGTTTTTACAGCTCTAAGTATTGCTTTGAAAATTGTCTCAAAAAATTAAAATTGTCATTTCAAATTGCAAAAGCAATTAGATATTAAAAATGTTACAACGATTAATTAATTTTTTGCGCACGATCCAAGCGAATTGCTCTGCATTTTTTAACGAACTAGAGAGAGAGAGAGAGAGAGAGAGAGAGAGGTGTATAGCACGTAAATATCGCGCAACTATGTTGCAAGCGGAACTATTTCCGATAAGCAATAACGGGTGCGATAGTCAGCGTGGTCGAATAATAAATATCTGAGTATTTATACAGTGTCCACTGCAATGGTTCGTCGATTCCGCGGCGATTTCGCGGTGATCTAAACTACGGCACGGTGAGTGTGGCGAGATGAATATAAACGAGACCCAGGTGGGATTTAGATGAAAAATACGGGTAAAAGAGTGCGAGTCAAAGAGCGCGTCGGCGAAATAATGCCCGCGTTCGCCGCATATTACACTCGGCTGTATACCAACACGCGTTTTATATGATAATTTCGGCGTGTTCGATTAAAACCGGGGTGATACTCGCGCGAATCGGCCCCTCCTGTCACGCAAATTGCGTAGCCGCGCAATCACATCTTCTCAGTCCCGCGTATGTAAAACAATTCTATTTTTCAAAAATCAAGTACCGCAATAATCCGTCAAACAGTTTGTAGGGATCTCGACAGCCAGGTATATATATATTTTTTTTATTTTATACTCTCCCTCCGTCACTCTCGATGTCGATCTGTCGAATTATCGGACGAATACCGGCTGCCGCGCCATTGCCGGTATTATCGGCGCTAACAATCGGAAATGCTCGGCTTTACGAGCAAGCGGTTGTTGCACCCCGGTCGGGAAACGGCTCGTCGCGGCCAAATGAATTTCGCGGCAATATTGTTTCCGTGCTCACCCCTCCCCCCTCCCCCCCTCTCTCTCTCGGAACACAATCTCCCCACAAGGGCGCCCATCCCTCCTTTTGTCGTCGAGTGCCCGTAAAACGAAAGCGGGAAAGTGCTTACGCGTTCGATTAGCCCCGCTGAAACGCCGCGCTGTACCCAAATCGCTCCCCCTGATTTCAACTGTGTTCCGCATTAACCACCGCTCTCGCGTTAATTGCTCCGCGTTTACGGAATTAGTTTTGGGAAGATGCACTGAATAATTTATACCCCAGGAACGCGGAAGGAACATACGCGTGCTGTTATATTATTAATGTTAATTTGTTTTTAACACTTCCACGCGCGCCACACGCCCCCGCGCACTCCGCGCGCTTAATGGGTCGATGTCATGTATATGCAACGCGCGATATGGAAAGTTAAAATTTATATCGTACTATTTTAGAAATGAATTACGTAAGCGGTGAATAATTTTTTATTCCCCGTTAGAGACATAAATTCCGTGAGAGGAGATAATTCTCTATTTGTGTTCGTGACTTTTTTAAATGTAACGATGATAAAAAAAAAAGAGAGGTACACTTGATAAAAGAGATACACATTATTCCATCGCGAGCGATTAATTCTCGGGTACATCTCGATATTAATTCATATAAAAATCTATACTGAAATGGAATATTTTTCATAACAGTTATTCGAACAATTCTTTATTAAATTCCGAGAAGAACGTTTACATCTCTTTTAATCTCTGCACACAGTACGTCTATTGAGGTGAAATCTCTGCCGATAATCAAGACGTATGATAAAGCAAAGGCCAACCCCAAAAAGCCGGTATCAGACCACAAATTGAACATTAAAGATTGCGCGAATTGAAGATTAGAATTTTATAAATCAGATATTAATTTTAATTTCATTTCGATTTATTTCGCTCGAATTTTAATCTTCAATTCGCAATCCTCAATCTCCAATGCATAATCTAACGCGGGCTTACGATCGTTTACGTTTATATTCACATCGCCGACGTCGTCGTCGCGCACTTACGACGTGTCCCCGGGAAAACGGCCTATCGCATTAACCGATATTTTCTACGTGCAGGTCGTGCAGGCGGCCCTGGACAAGGCCATGCAGGGCAGAACGTGTATCACCATAGCCCACCGTCTGGCTACTATAAGGAACGCCGACGTGATCTGCGTGCTCGATCGGGGCAACATCGCCGAGATGGGCACCCACGACGACCTGATGGCGAGCGGTGGTCTCTACGCTCACTTGCACACTCTCCAGCAGTCCTCTGTAGAGCAATAGAGGAGCGCGAGAGTCAGGCGGATCGGAATCCTTCGCGCTTTCATTCATCGCGCGAGGCGTCTTGGAGGCGCGAGGACCGACTCGAGGGGGACGGTCGAGAGGCGGTGTGAAGCGGAGGAGAGCCAAACCGCACAGAGTGGGATCTCGAGTGGCCGCAATCGCCGTCAATCGAGACGTCGAAGAACAGAAGCGACAGCCGACGTCCAGAGGACGCGCCAGGAAGACGGAAGACTGTTCCTGTAGGTTTACGGAGCATTCGACTTATTCGCCGTGCCGACTCGGCAGCGAACACGACGACTGGCAGCACCGCGTTCGCGGCTTAAGATCCACCACCAATCGAAAACCAATCGAGTTACTTATTTTCGGCGGAAACTTGATCGCGAATCAAAATTCGAAGTTGTATCGACGTTCTTGGATCTATAATTTTCAGTCAGTGAGACATGTTATGTTTATAATAACTCCATGAACTTATTATTCCGCAGTTATCTTTTTGCGCGACACGAGTTTAATTACGGCAGTTATACCATCGCGATTTTCTTACGAATACGAAATTTGCATGTGCTGCATATTTTGATAGACGTTTCATTAAGTTCGCACGTCCTGAATGAGTAGCTGTAACTAATGAAGGCTGACGAAGCGAATGCGATGAATATTTACCCTCTCTTTTCCTCTCTATTCCCTATATTCCGTATCATTCGCGCTTATTTCTCCTTTGATATTTTTATACAGAATATTTCTGCGGCTGATAGACTTAAGTCCCCCGTCAAAGATCTTTTACTGGAGGACGTCGCTTCTGCTGGCACGTTACTTCATTAGGCTTTGTAACCCCGCGCATCCATCCTCCTAGACGGCGAAATGCGTCTCGCGCGGCATTATCCGTAATGGCAGCCGGCGTAATAGACTTTACCATTCCTCCACCCGTTATTCGTTATGCGTCGACTTTCTTCCGTAGCGTTTTCTCAGGTGATAATATTTCTTTGCGTGCGCGCGCACTGCACGCACGTACACGCTGCGTTCGAAGTTCCTGACTTCGATTTTTACGACAACTAACGTAGTGTCTCGTGATGACGAGTGCCAGGAAACCTGTTTGTACGTTCATAATTAAGTCTCTTCTTTTTTCAGGAAGAAAAGACAGTATCGAATAAAAAAAAGGGGAATAGACCGAGTTCTTTTGCGGTGGCGTTAATCCGAGTCCAATAGTCTTATCTTATCCTGTCGGTCGAACGAAAGGTCGGTGCGACCGTCTCGAATAGACGCAATTAGCGTAATTAATGTTATTGACTTGCGTCTCTCTCTCCCTGTCCCGCTAGATTAGATAGACGACGTAACCGAATCGATCGATTTGCGAGACGTAACTCGTGCAACAAGATGTGCAAATGGCGACAGGTGTTCAAGAGCGTGACATAAGAGTATTCGTCCGCCGCCACTGCCGCCGGCGCCGTCGTAATTTCGACAGTGCGGCACTCTAAACGACGGTAGCAAAAATGAAAAATGTATAAGTACTTCTTTGGGAATAATATGCGGCTCCGCCCCACCCCACCCCCGTCCCCCTCGCGTTTCCTCATTTCTCCTCTTTTACCTGAAAAATTCAGATGTTCATCTTTATTCCCTCGCGAAGTAGTAAAAGGAGGAATTCTCTTCTCACTTCAAGGATATCTGTGAAATATATCGTGTTCAATCACCTGGGGGGCGCGCGAAACGTCGAATATACAAAATTCGTAGAAGGGACGACGATAAATTATCGTTACCCATTCCTCAACGGTGCCTTAACGACGACACGTTAGTTTAACGTGACTTCTCCGTCACGTGACGGACAAGTATAACGAAGATGAAGCGGTCGGTGAGACGAGGGCGACAAGGGACGGCGTATACATATGGCATTTGTTTTGGGGGTTTGGAGGGGGAAGAGGAAATACTCTCTTTCGGCCGGAAAATATATCGCGTTCGCGAGCATGTGCTGAATTCGATCGAATGGAATTATGTAAAGCGGCTGCTCGGTGTATGAGTAAAATTTATTACCGCAATAACAGTCGTGTGTACGATACGTACTGCGGGGGAATAAATAAAATGAAATAGGAAATCATATATATTTACGAGAAGAGCCGACGACTCTCCCCCCCCTCTCTCTCTCTCACACTCTCTCCCGACATGTAAGTATCCAGGATTCCTCCGTACACAAAACGGCTTTCCTCGTGCGAAACGAAAATCGATAATCGCGAAACAATCAGCGATCTCCAGCGATGTGCGGTAGAATGGCGATCGGTTTTTCGAACGAAGGGAGAGAGGGGGAGGGGTAGCGGGGCGACTGTCATAAATTACAACTGTGTCATTTCGCGATCACATTCTTCCGATAACCAATCCGAGTACCGTCTCTCTTTAGGCCTTAATAACAAGACTCAGCCGGCACGAAAGCTTATCGGCTTTGGCGACGATATACGCTCGACGGCGAAGGGAGTGCGTGTAAAAAGATCGGGGACGATTTTTCAGAATTTGTCCCCTCGCCTTTAAGAAAGCTGCCGCGCCCGTCTCAAACGTCTGCCATCGCGATCCATTAGCTGTGAGATAATATTGTGCAAACACGTCGTGCGGACGCGAAAGACCGATCGTCGTTAATCGAGATACAATGGGGGCATTGAAAACAAATAAGCGGTGACTGCTTGCTAATCGTCACGTGTCAGAAATAAGGACTAATCGTTGCTTCGGAAGAATTTTCAGAGCAATATGTATTTTTAAAACGAGTTTAATTATTCCCTCGGAGTATTTAGAAAACTAAAAATTGCTATTAGTTTAGATTTGTATTCACAAAGGAAATAATTATACAAGATAAATGCATTATTATTTGTATTCATACGTTTAATTACAATTTCAAAAGAAAAATGGTCAAAATCGAAGAAAACGATGTGCCCTCGTGACTCTTTCGATTCTTTGGTCAATCATGAATAATTACTTAAGTTTATGGCTGCAGCGGCCGTAATTTAAGAGACTTAAGAGATCTTACAATAAATTAAATGAGAACGGAGAATAAACTACCTCGGCTCGGACGTATGAAAAAAAATACTGAAGTCCGAAAGTGATTTAAAAGATTAAACATATATGTCGAACTGTTATCGCGTGCGCTTACAGTGATACGAAAATGAAGGTATTAAAGTTTTTGTTATATAAGAAAAATATCAATGTAACGTAATAATAAAGAAAGCTATAAAACGGAGAAGAAGCTCGCGAGAAAGGAGCACGATCTAATTACAGTATCTTTCTTCCCTTCCCCCGATGTCTTCTCTCCCTCGCCGACATTCTGCTCTGCATTATTGTACGCGAAGGAATTAATTAATCAGTTGAAGATGACGTTTATAAAGAATGTTTCAGACGTATTGGCTCATCCTTCATAATTCCACGATGAACTTAGGGGTCGACTTTTTCTCAGGGAAAATTTGACGGAAAAATCTAATTACCGGGGAAACGCTTAAAACTTGGAGAAGCCCGTGAGAGCCTCTAACAATTAAATAATAATTTTTTCGCGATAAGCTAAATTATCGGGCGGAAAGTGTCGATCTTAAGTAGCGTCGGCTCGCCTCTCGAGAGGCAATCAACTCGTTTTTTTTTATATCGTATACCTATATATTATACTTTTACGGCGCAATTTATATTACGGGACAAGAAAGGCACGTCTTTATCTTGTCGTCTGGTTGCCTCCGTCTCGTAAGAGTATATGTCTATTTTTATTACACTTTTTATTTATATTACCGGCGTCGATATGAGAAAGAGGGAGGGGCAAGTTATGAATGGGGCAAGTTATGAATGGGGCAAGTTATATCTATTAACACGGATAACTCTCTCCCTCATTTCTCCACTTCAAGCAGCGACAGGCCGAGGTGAAACTCATCGGAAATTAAATTACCATACCGTCTCACGTCCGTCGGGATCAGGTTGTTTTTTATCGCCGTGGATCTCGTCATTCTTTATTTCACCGGGGATTTCGTCGAAATTTATTCGTAAAAAGCCTGTAAACTCTGGCGTACGTAAAGAGAAGAGAAAGGCGAGCATCCCTATTATCGTTGTCGAAAAGTGTCATCAAAGAGAGAGAGAAAGAAAGAAAGAATGAGAGAGAGAGAGCTGCGAAAGGATTCAGAAAGAATATCAATTCAAAAAGCGAATATCAAGTTCGACGGATGGTGACTCGAGAGACAGGTATTGAGAAAGTGTAGGGGGAGGGAGAGGAGGGAAATAAAAAGAGAGAGACGGAGTTCTTCACAAGGCTTTGAGTGAATTTGCAAAGTTGCGAGACTGCGCGGCGGCTGCAATGGCCATTCGAGTTTTTAAGCAAACTTCCGCTGATGCTCGCTGTACAAATTCCAGGGGGAAATAAGTCGCACGTCTGGTCCAGGTTTTATTTCACGTTGATTAGTTAAATTGATATAAAGTAAATAAAGTAAATTACAATTTCTCTCTTTCTCTCCCTCTTTCTCTCTCCATTTATGAAGTGTACATGAATGGTCTTTTATTCATTCGGGATTGACTGGTATTAATTATGGCGAATGACATGCAATTTAATTATCAATAACGAAATATTAATTGTGCTAGATTGCCAGCTGACAGTTCTGGCTCGTCTCGTTATACGTTAAAATTTTGTATATCGGAAAGAGGCAAATAAATCTGCATTATAAACGAGATCAATCTATTCATTACTGTCCTTTAAGTTTTTGACATTTAAAGCATCGTACAATATACATACAATGCATTTAAAATAATAATACCAATTTAATTATTTCAAATTTCAATGGATTATGATCTCGTTAATCTTTACCTGCAGCTTATAATTCTTCAGTTATTACACACAATATACTTGAATCAATACACTTTATTTCAAGAAGATATATCAAACGGAGATATTTCAATTTCAGTTCGATATTTTGAAACAATAAAACGCTTCTTCACTCCACAAATATCAATTATTAATTACCGTATTAATTATTATTTAAATTTGCCTATATTTATTATTTAAATATGCATTTAGTTATTTATATGATTTGATTTAAATCACCAATTTTCTTCCATTATTCTAAATCGTTTGGTATTATAAATAATATAACGCACAAGAAATATGCGAAATCAATAATTTTGTGTAATTTATATTTTTTTAAATTTATTTTTAATGTTATAACGAGCGTCTTTTGATTAATTTATAAAAATAACAACGGAGAGACGATAAATAGTTCATCTCCTCTTTAGCTGGTCCATTTCGCTGCAACATCGTTTTACGAGGCGGAATGAAAGGAGAAGAACACTTTATTACTTAACGAAATCATTCAATATTAAAATACCGGACAGCGCTGATTCCTCTCGAATACTCGAAAAAATCATTTCGATTCTTCGCGATCTTTCATAAATATCTCTTACAGAAATCCAATTTAATACTAGTCAATTTATTAAATGAAAATGACTTATTTTGAATAACAGTGATTTCAATATTGAAAATAAGTAATTAATCACTACCTTCCAGTATTAAATTTATATAAGGGATTACCCTAGAATTATACATTTCTATTGCATCTAATTGTAAATAGTGAAATGGTAATTTGATTTAACATTAACATTATCATAATATTTACATACATTGTGCTTACATATTCATATATACATATGTTAAGAGAGAGAAATTAATAATTAATTAAGCTGTAACGATGAATTAGATTATAGTTCTGCTTAGAATTCCACTTACAACTGACTTTTTCCGTTAAAAATCAATGCTTGGAGATATTGCATCTTATATTAATATTCGGCAAGTTCGCACAGCGCAAGGCTAATTCGAGCAACATCGAACTAATAATAATGCTTAGCTGCAAGACGCAGACGAAATTTTGGGACAGAATTTAGCATCGGGTCGTTGTGGCTGGGTGTCAATTAGCATTCAGTGAGGAACGTCGTCCTTTGTTGTATATACCAAGAGAACCGGGCGTTTCATGGGAAGCCGGGGGATCGTGCCAACTAGAGGCGGGTGGCGTAGAAATGGCGGTCGGGGAAACGCCAGTGTGGATGTAGACACGTTTGAATAAGCACACGCGGGGAGGGGGCAGCGAAGAAGGGATCGTGTAAACAGATACAGATCTGTAGTAGGACACGAAGAGGGTCGAACGGGGCCAGCCTATCTTCATTATTTATTACTGAGACCGCAAATGCGCGTGATGGCTTTATCATTATTGAAGATTATCGCCGCGAGCTCTTTTTTCTACGTCATCTTGTTGGCCCCCAAGAATGCAAAATATCTCTTCCCCAGTACCCATAAGGAAAACAGCGTGAAAAAATAACCGTCCGGTCCGCGGAATGAGAATAATAAAATACAACGCGGCCGGTATTATACTTTAAAAATTTTCACATGCGCGCCGAGTATTTTGTGAGGCTGAGTCGAGATTGTTTTTCACGAAATGCGCGTATTCCGACATACAATGTAAAAAGGGGAGGCAAATAGATCCGATAAAAATACCGGCGTTATTCGAAGCTTTACGCAAAAGAGATGTGGTAAAAATACGAAGTACGGCAACCTCGTTAATGGTCGAGCGTTAGCTTCACCAGGTCCTAACTAACTTGCAATGCGCGACGATAACAGTGCAACGCACAGGCAAACCGATGTATAGAATTAGAAAACAGAGTATAAATAAATCGATATATATATATATATATATATATATATATATATATATCCATAAGGGAAAGTAGAGAGAGAGACAACGGGATTGCGAATGCCGTTGTAGGTTCCTATTCTGCAAGCCGTCGCGCATATAAATCAGCATAAATTGCAACGCGGGAATTCCGTAGTCGCTGCATGCATCGTCTGCGTTTCGTACGTACGCGTTTAGCAACAGCACAGGTGCGATACTCATGCGGGATGCCGGCCGTGTGCAACCGGCGGCAACGGTAACCGGAAGACAGAGCTTCGTTGACTCGCCGTAACGACGAGACAATTTGCTCGATTTTCTTCGACACGTGTAAATATCCCCGAATTCTTATCCGCCGTGATCACGTTGCACATTGAGCGCGAATAAAATTTTCCGTGCGCGTTTGCTGTTGAATAATTAATATCAATGCGCGCAGACGAGAGAAACTATCACATTGAATATTTAATAATTAATTTAAAAATGTGAATTTTTATCCATATTTCTATCATTTCTATCTATCTATTTCTCCTCATATTTACAGTTATTTACAAACGAAAGTTATATGTGTAATAGATTACATTTTCCGAAAAGTTTTCCCGTTAAACATATCAAATATGTACATTCAAACATACAATTTTAAATACACAATTTCATTTATATTTTTAGTAAGTAATCTAGGAAATGTAAGCACAAATATTGCAAAGTGTATGCTCACACGCGATGTAGCGTTTAAAATAAAATGCTTCCACGGAAACGGCCAACTCGCTCAGTAATATATCAAAGAGGCAAGCTATAATTTCGTACACAGAGTTTTGAATATCGGGAGTAACGCGGGGTATATCGATCATGGATAATGTAAACATCCGATGTGTGCGGAGTTGTCGCGAAAATGTTTTTCCTGGGCAAACCTATGAGGTGGCGGGCGGTGTTATTGCGTTTTCAACGTCGCGGCTTGAATCAGTCTTTACGGACTTTCGTTTAACTTGGCGGCTTTAGTGCGGCTTTGCCGCCGCCACTGTAAGATACTTTCATCCACCGGCGCGTTCTCTCAATGGCGAAACCGCATCGCGGACTTTTCATATCTTGGATTTCTGTCGGCGGTAGATCCAGGATCGTTCCGGGGATCTCCTGCCTGCCTGCCTGCGCGGATATCCGGTCGGCCCGTATATCTCCCGTCCGCGGTCCGTCCAATATCGCGATTCCGATAAAAATCTTGGCGAACCGTGCGCGTCAGAAAATTTTTTCCACAATATTCCCCATTCGACGAAAGTGGCAACGCGGTCATTGAAAAATTTAAGGGGGATGTAATTCAGGAAGCGCCGCTAGGAAGCTCTCCCTCGGTTTCTTTCCATTCTTTTTCCCGTAATTTTATTTAAACGCGCTTATATTTTGCGCAAAAAATTAAATTTTAACACATTCCTGTGGCTGTAGCAGCTTAAAGTGTAGCCAAAGGATATATCTATACGTGCTATATTATATTTCCGAAAAAAGTAACAAAAAAAAAAGTAAAATTTTGATAAAAGATATTTGTACATATATTTATATAAGCTTCATAATACAACGTCACATTTTTAAATCTTGAATACGTAG